CGCCCGTCAAGCGTCTCGCTTGTCAACGGCATTAGCATAGGGCTAACGTCTCGGCAGATCTCGGCGATGGCTTCAGTCATCACCTACACCCTGTAACTGTTGATCTCCTCCACACACGATCTCTCTGCGCTGAAATATTTTAAATTCTCATTCTCATTCTCCTCCTCGTTAACATTAATATGTTTATCCTTACTCCCCCTATGGCCGTAGCCATCATCACATTCGCTCTCATGTTATTGGGTTCTTGCCCGTTTGAAGTTGTGAATTCAAATAAATACAAACAAGACGGCACATCCCGCACAGTGTCATGGCGAGCTGACGTGAATGTTTCTAACTTTCATTGCATGTACATAATGTCTTTCTCAGAAGTTTCCCTGTCTGTTCCGTCTGATTTGAACTGAACTTGGAGTTCAACACCAGTTACTCGTATCATCGGACATGAGAACACCTATAGTCTACAAAACAATTCTGTTTGCTTTTCACTGATGTTCGTCAAATCTCTCAGCCTGCCATTGTGAAATCAGCATTACAATTTTCAATTTTTCATGACGCTAGTGTTCTTCATTGTGCTTCATTCTCAATCGTGTGTCTTATGCAGATCTTTGCCGTGAGCCATGTCGACCATTTCAGCAATGCGTATCGGACGGTCACAGTCGGCCTAGGTGTGGTTGTGAGACACAGTGTGCCGATTCCACTAATACTAACCGGCAGGTTTGTGCATCCAATGGCAAGACCTACTCCAGCAAGTGTGAGATGCGAAAAGCCAGCTGCATACTGCAAAGGAAGCTGAGGCCAGTTTCGAAAGACCGTTGTCAACGACGTACAGGTGAGTGAGAAATGCGAGGCTGAACTCTTAATACCAACATGTCCTGCTAACAATATTGTTGGAGATTTTCTGGGGAAATCAATAGAAATCATGGTAGCGACGTCAGCGATGATTTCATTGGAAAGGTGTTTGCTCCCCACACTGGAGCTCTCACTTTTCTGCCGAGTTGACACTTGACCCGCGACTGAAATCCTGAGCACACGGGAAGTCCATTGAACCTTCGACTCGGCAAACCTGCAAGAATGCACCACTCCCTGCTCAATACACAGTAGATGCATTTCGTGGAATTCACCCCTCATCAGTTGAGCTTGAGTAGGCTGAGGAAGATTGTCCGATCTGAAGAGAATCACTAAAGGAGTGCTCTCGAGGCCAAACCATCACCAGGGATACAAACTTACAGAGACGCTCCATTTCCAGCGCGATAAACACCTCGTGAACACCAGATAGCTGTGTTACTCCAGTCTCTCCGGAGGTGTGGGTTCAAATCCCACCGCTGCCACCAGTGTTAGCTCCCGGCTAAACACAGTCCCCTCACTCTCGCAGAACACAGGGGTTTTATAGTATCGAATACGGAAGAAGTATTTAGACAAGAGTGATACTAATACAACAACGAAGATTAGAGAACCACCGGAGCATGCACTCTTCTATACTTGGTGGAATCCCATTGCTATGGTGAAGGAGTGGGAAAATACGAATAGTGAGTATTGTACTGTCTTAGCATAAATACACATATTACAGCAGCGTAAGTCAGTGTCGCTCTTGCTCAACTGATGAGGGTGAAGTCCTCGAAAACTCTCTGTATTGAGCACGAAGTGGTGCATTATTGCAGGTTTTCCGAAGGTTTGATCAGGGGCGTAGCAGCCGCTCCGGCCGGTCCGGCTTTGGCCGGACCAATTTTTCGCCCGACCACGACCACCATAGTAAAACAATGCCAAAAGTGCCCAGAATGCAGGATTTTGCACCCTAATTTCAAAATATTACGGGGGGAGATCCCCCTCCCCCCTCCCTCCCCCCCCCCCCCCCCCCAGCCGGACCACCGCCAACGGCGGTGCTACGCGCCTGTTGATGGACTTCTTTTGTGCCGTGGATGGCAGTCGTGAGTCAGTCAAGTGTCAAGTCAAGTCTGCGGGTAAGGGCGGGCTCCAGTGTGGGAATCAAATTCCTTTCCTATGAATCATGATCAAAGAGAGCTCACATCATGTACACGTACTGGCATTGAAAGACATTCTTGGATGGTTTCTACGTGTATATCAACAGATCCTTGCTCCACTGCACAATGCCCACGAAGCCAAGTATGCATCCCGGACCCTGCCGACGTGAGCAGATCAAAATGCATCTGCAACCACCAGTGCAGCTCCAGAATCAGCTATGTGTGCGGCACCAATCACCGCTCCTACACCAGCCCTTGCCACCTGCACAAACGTGCCTGTGAGGAACAAATGAGCATCACAGTTCTCCACAATGGTCTATGCTCCTTGCACCCTAACCCCAGCAGCAATGATGTGCCGCGGCCGACAGAGGAAAGCTCGAGAGCCGGTGATGATGTGCCACCGACAGAGGAAAGCTCAAGAGATGGCCCTGCTGGAATTGGTGAGCATGTGCATACGTGATATGCGCTGTCAGTGTCCATGCATACTTATCTGTTTAGCAACGCCCCCCCCCCCCCCCCCCCTGCACACACCATGTACCCCCCCCCACACACACACACACATGCACACACATGCACTGTGCTTGCTCAGGGCCAAAACTGGTCACGTGGGTCTCCCCGGGAGAGGGAAGAGAGACTCAAAAGGAATCTAGGAAAGGTGTCTCAATTGGCCATTGAACCGCCCAACGGCCAACACCTCTGAAATCTCCAAACTTTAGGTGAACCTGGAAATTATCCCACTTCTGGGCTCACCACACCACAGTAAGGGAGCATCTCATTAGTTCGCATTTTTTTCCTAAACGTAACGCATTTCGAAACGGGGGTAGGGGGTAACGCCCTTTTCGAATAGAAAAATGACAGTTCGCACATTTTCTGGATGTGTACATAATGTGCATGCAGTGCATGTTCTGTAGTACTTCAGCAAATGAGTGTGTTTAGGTGTACATCTATATTTTGTACCTGTGTTTGGAGGTCAGCTAAACCTTGCATACACTGCATGCATGCAGGCTACTCAGAGGTGTCAAATGTCACACCAGCCTGATCAAACTGTGTACCTGGCCAGCTTTTACAGAGTCAGTACACTAGTTGTTGTGGAGGAACTCTGTTTATGTGCGTGTACAAGTCATTCATTGTACTTGTACTCAATATCTACAGTTATGTAGATGGGGTACTACTGACTACAGTAAGTAGTCGGTATGCCATTCACTTTGACATTCATGTCCATGTACAGTCTACATTAATTTTGTACATGTGCATACCGTGGCATGCATGGGCATGGACACGCACAGTACAGTATTAGATCCACACGGAAAATGTGCGATAAGACTTTCGAATAGAGGGGGGAGGTAGGGGGGTAAAGTCTATTCGAAATGCGTTACGTTTACAAAATAGGTGCGAACTTATGAGATGCTCCCTAAGTTGGTGAAAACAAGGTGCAGAAAAGGATATATTTATGGCACCAGGGTATCTGTCTCAGAATCCAACTGCATTTACCCCTGACCCCAGTGAAGGTAATACGTCTTGTTGCTAGTGTGGGTGGCTAAATCAGAGTAGACACACCATTGGACCATTGGACGCCCATCGCCGGAGGCGATGATAGCGATGCTACAGCAGAAGCCATAGCAGCTTGTGCTGGGATTGCACCATTCAACAGCTTGCAAGGCTGAAGAATTGACCGCCACTATTCAGCCTGGTCTACACCACACAGCTATGAAGTGGCTTTTTCTGGCCAGTGAATCCCTACTTTTTGGTCTTTTTTTCTTTTTTTTGGACACGTGGACACACACATACACACACACACAAGCACAGATACACACGCACACACTCTTATACTCATACTCATACACGCCCATCTCGGAAGCGATGATAGCGAACAGCTACTGTAAAAGCCATATATAACGAAGTGCTAACTCTAACGAGTTAACGAGGAGAAATCTTTTGTTAAAATAGAAATCGTTATACCGAAATCGATACATATATTGTCCTATTGAGCGTTGAGAATGAGTGAGAATCGTTACCTTTGGTACACGTAAACTAGTCAATTTTGGGAAATCGTTATATATGCGCCTCAGTGGCGTAGCCAGGGGGGGTGCTTTGGGTGCCCAAGCACCCCCCTCAAAAATTTCAGGTGCCATTTTCGTACTGCTGTGGATCTACGCCCGCCCGCGATCGAGACTCGACGTCGACAAGACGCTGCGCTGCACGTGCGTTGTACAACTACCGGTATAGACTCGCACTTTGTGTAGCTAGACTTGGTAGAAGTGAAAGAGAAGTGGCAACGTCGTTTTGTGATCCGCAAGTCGAATGGATTCTTATGAAAATGTCGATCTTGAAGTATTTCAGTCGAGGGAAGTCGAAGAGACCAGATACCAGTAGCAGCAGTGCCAGTGCCATTTCCGAATCTGACGAATCTAATTGCGAAATTGTCGAAGTCGAAGACTCGGAAGAGCCGCAGTTGTCGCCCTTGGCTGTACCAGTAGCAGTCGTCCGAAATGACATCGGTACCTTTATGGAGGACATTGCGAAGGGTGCACCGCTCGACGACGACGTGATGTTTGCCCTGCTAAAGGACCATGTCCAACCGGATAGTTCGTTTGTTTTCCCGAAGAATGGTGGCCGGTCTTTTCAGCCCCGCTGGCTCGATGTATACAAGCCATGGCTGGTGTTTAGCCCTTCGCTTTCCGGCGGAGTCTGCGTGGATTGAACGAACTTCAACAATTGTCTGTATTATATTCTGGGTCTAACCACACTCTGTCAATCTCTTACCATCCAACTTCTGTAGCAAAGTACTGTGCGTTTCATACGATTATCTGACTTTTTATTGAATCATTGGTGGAATGGAAAATAATGAAATAGATGCAAAAATGAAGGATTTGGCACTCAATATCGAAAATTTTTCCGGGGGAGGGCCCCCGGACCCCCCCCCTTTTTTCCCGCAGGCCCACACTTCCAGTGAGCACCCCCCTCAGCCACAATCCTGGCTACGCCCCTGCGCCTCGTTAGAATAATGGCTTTTACAGTATTTTG